ACTATTGGGTTGCAGCTAAAAACACGTAAAATAGCAAAGAGAAATTACAATTATTTATTTTATATAGATTGACAAAATAGTGGTTGGTGAGGAATGTGGATAACGTACAAGCCCCGATCTGATTTTCCGAATAATATAAATTATAATTTGTATACCCAAAAGAAAAATAAAGAAATACAAAATAAAATTAATTATAAAAAATAATAATAATAATAATAATAATAATAATAATAATAATAATAATAATAATAATAATATAAGAATAATAATAAAGTAAGTTGGTAAAAGAAAGCAATAGCGTAGTTGGTGTGAGCTTCTATTCAAACAAGTGGGGTTGTTAGTAGAAAAGTAGACCAAACTCTAACCTCTATTTTCAAGATCTATATATAATAATATTAACTAAAAATAATAATAATAATAATAATAATAATAATAATAATAATAATAATACTTTTTTCAAGATCTATATAAATATAGATTTTAAAATTACAATATAATTATAAAAAATAAAATACAATATATAAAGGAATATTATTAAACTAGTACAACGCCCGTGTATTACACGAATACTTGCTAATTTTTTTCTTAAAATCTAAAATTAATGAGAAAAAATAATTAAAAATTTAAATATCTTTTATAAAAATATATATTATTATATATTTAGTATGCCACTTTTTTATTTGCGCGACTTATTTGTGTTATATTATAATAATTTTTTAACTTACAACATATAACTACATTAAACCTAAATATATCAATTGAGAAATAATTTTATTTTTCTAATTAATTTTAATAAATATTATTATTTATTATTATTATAAAGATAAAATATAATTTATTTATTTCATATATACAATATGGATGTCAAATCGAAGATACCAAAAGATGATTAGTTTGATATATTATATATGTAAAATTACAAAGAATTGAAGGGTTATATTGCCCATCTTTCGAATTCCAAGGCTGCTTTTTGTCACCTTCTTTTAAAAAAAAACCGAATTTCATGTGTGAGCACCTTGTTTTAGGAAAAGAAACTTCCAAGTTCTGAAATGAATCAATGGAAAAACTGGTTAAGAGGACATTATCAATACAATTTATCTCAGATAAAATGGTCTAAATTAATACCAGAAAATGGCGAAATAGAGTTCATCAATGTCATATAGCTAACAAGGAAATTTTAAGCAAACGGCATTCATATGAAAAAAGACCAATTAGTTGATTCCAAAAAACAAAGAAAATTAGAAGTCTATTCATTATTAGATAATAAAATTTTTCAAAAAAATGTTAGGTATGATCTTTTATCATCTAAATTTCTCAGAAGTATTAAAATACCTAAGTTAGCTATTTAATATTTATGAAATGTCCGAGATTATTAATTATTAATATATCAATATTATTTGTCCAAACCTAATTACGAAGCATGATTCTCGCCAAGTAGGATTTCGAAGTACCAGAAACAGCCATGTAAGCTCAACACATTCGAGAATAATATGAAAGGAGGATAACACGAATATATACTTTATTAAAAAATGTATAATAGATCGATTTGTCTGCTCCCCTCTATATGTAGGAAATATTATTTGAAAAATAATTTGTACAATAGTTATATATTTGAAAAAGGTGTATTTCTAAAATATAAATAATACATTTTATTCAAAGTTCTGAGTTGTAGCTACTTAGCGTTTGATTGTTTATAAAATAATTTATTCAATTTTATTTCATACTTAAAATTTAACTCAATTTTAACTCCAATTCAATATCTTTAATATTATTTATATAATTAAATTTATACAAAACAATCATTCTTATACATCACATCAATTTTAATTTAATATTTATCCACTCACATAATTTTAACTACATATCATTTTCAGTCACTTCTAATCATTTATCTCGTACTTTTATATCAAATCAATTTTAATCATTTTAATTTAAATATTATTTTAATTTATTATCAAAATTCCACTAACAACTAACTATACCACATTTTTCAAAATTAACTATACTTACCTAAAATAACTCGTTTTGAACAAATTATTTCATAAACAATCAATCCTTTAACTATGTTTGTCTAATAGTATAGAACGAAATGAATTGGGTTTCTTAATGGTTAATACAATTGCAACAAAATACGATTTTTTCACTTAATGTAATTAGTTAAGAAAAACAACCGCATTAAGCTCGGTAAAAATAATTAAGAACGTAAATTACATATTGAAACTACAATAATAGCAATTAATAGTATAATAATGCTTCCCTACCTACGTTGAACACATGTTAATATACTCACCGCTTATGTGACATACACACATTGATGATGTATTTTTTTGAACATATTAACATCGTCAATGTGTGCATGCCATATCAGCAGTAAACATATCAACATGTACCATGGGTAGGGGAGCATTACTGATTAATAGTACATTTTTCAATATGGATTCAATCTTTATTTTCTATCCAACTAACCCAGAAAATTTTAGGAGCCTTTTAGGCTCAAAATAGAACAATTGGCTGTCAAAGGAAAGGAATAAAGAAAATAAACCAGATCAGGAATGTAGACGGGTCGGATCGGGCGCAAATACCATTCGAGTGTGCACACGGTTATCGGCCAGAGTGTTCGGGAGTTATCTGCCAGAGTGTCCGGCGTTATTATGCATGTATTTTATTAATAAAACATCATAATTTGGAAACCAACATAAATAAAAGTGTAAAATTTGATATCACAAACGTATATATTTATTCTTATTATATAACAGACTGACCTGCATAATATTCAAATTCACCAATCAACAAAAAAAATGTGATTTTTCAATTCAAGATGATGAAATGGTTCAATTTATTTTTGGTGGATATTATTTTTTAAAAACAAATTACCAACAAAATACTAACAAATTTTACAATAAAAATAAATTTCTTTTTATTCTGCTAGCAAATTATAATAACAACAAAATATTTCGTTAACAAATAGCAACAATTTAATTCCGTTGGGAAATACCAACAAAATTGTAACAGAAATCTTCATAATAATAATATTAACGGAAATTTTCGTTGTTAAAACAAAATTAAATAGCAACAAAATTAAACCAATAAAAAAAAAAACAAACCCAAAAGTCAAATCCTTCCTATATATTATTACTAAATGCCCTGAGCATACATAGTTGTTTCTGCTGTTTCGGAATTTTATTTGGCAAAAAATCATCCTTCGTAATTAGGTTTGGACAAATAATATTGATATATTAATAATTAATAATCTAGGTTTGGACATTCTATAAATATTAAATAATTAACTTAGGTATTTTAATATCACTTGTACTAATATAACTTTTAATTATTTGTAATTTTACACATTAAGTGACTAATATATCCCTCACTTTTGATTTGTTTACTTCATTTAGTTATTTAATTGTAAACGTATTTTAAAAGTTGACAACTTTTGTATTTTTTATCGATTTTACATATATAATATACCAAATCAATCATGTTTTCATGATCTTCGGTTTGACATTCATATTGTATATATGAACTAAATAAATTATATTTATTTTTATAATAATAAAAAATAATATTATTTATTAAAGTTTATTAGAAAAATAAAATTATTTCTCGATTGACATATTTATGTTTAATGTAGTTATATGTTGTAAGTTAAAAAATTATTATAATATAACACAAGTAAGTCGCAGAAATAAAAAAAATGTCATACTACATATATAATAATATATATTTTTATAAAAGATATTTAAATTTTCAATTACTTTTTTTCTTATTAATTTTAAATTTGAAAAAAAAAATTAGCAAATACCTGTGTAATATGTTGTACTAGTTAAAAACACTCTTAGTAACGAATATTTCCGTAGCTAATTAGCAATAAAAAAAACAAAACCCTTGAACTTCATTCCCTCCTCCTCGCCCCCGCGCTCAGCCTCGTCTTCGGGCGCCGCTTCCATCGTCAGTCTCCGCGGAGGCCCGCGCCGGTCCGTCCGTCCTCTGTTAAGGCTCTTCTCTTACTGCGAGTTGTCTCTCTTGCCACTTCGAACAGGTAACGCCGCTCTTCTCTTACTGATTATTGTTGTTGTTTTTTTTTTGGTTATATTTTGTAATTACTCGCCGATTAGGTTCATAGTTTTGTTTACCATTACATGATGATTTCAATTTGAGTCTCTTTTATGTGAAAATTAACCGTAATCGGAAATAGAAGAGTTCACCCTCATTCCCACTGGACCTTTCGAAATAGGGAAATCGAAGGGTTAGCGGAGGGACCCCGGAAGGGTGAGTGAACTCTCACTTTTGTCGAAAATGAAACTTGAACCAGGTCCAGCCTTTGGGAGTTCATGTCGAAATGCTTGCGAGCCAGTAGCTTTCCTTTTCGCTAGGAGGTCCCGGGGGAATGTGCATTACAATATTGTGTTAGAGTTATGTGAAGATGAATTATGTTCTTTTGCCTAGACCAAGAATTCACGTAAACTTAAATAGTTTATCCTCGACTAAAGATTTTTGTGATGATATTACGAAGGTATATTAATCTGCAGTAGTTTTCCTGGTTAACATTCGAATTTGTATGTATATAATGTTCATTTCACTTAAAAAACTAACTTGACATTGAAGCAGTTGTCAATCTCTAGTCAATTAGAAGGGTAATTTACAAATTCTAGAAATGTTAATTATTTGACTAACATATCTTAAGTGGGTCATTCAAGTGATGAAGTAAAAGATGATAAGTCTTGATATTTGATTAGTGAAATTTTTAGGATAGAATATCTCTGCAACATTGCAAATGTCATTGATGAGAAAACCTGAAGTTTGCATATGCTTTACATAGTTGAGAAAAAAGGAGCTCCTCCTAGAATAGAAAATTGAAAGAAAATAACATGAAGCTATCAAGTGTTAGTTTGTTTTTTGAGTTGTTTATGTTGTCTTTTAAGATTTTGTAAACCTGTTTGATGTGTTAACCAAAAAAGGTTCCTCTCTAACACAATTGTGATATATGACAAGTTTTGTTACTTAGTTCAAATCCCACAATGTTTGTATGCGTGTGAATACTCGGTGTTGGTTCTGTGAATGTTTGTGTTGGTTCTGTGATGTTGGGAGACTATTGTTTTAATGAATATCAAACATTTAGTTTTAGTTTTAGTTTTAACTATGTTTTACAATCAAATCAGTTTTTATATGGCCTTGATTATCTTAGTTTTTTAGTCTGTTGGATGGAGCTTCTTCATCCTAAAGGTTAGCATGTGTTAGTTCTAATCAACTTTGAATGTTAAAGAACAAGAAATTTCCTATAATTGTCTCGTAATATATGTTTTTAAACTTTAAGAAGCACATAAGTATGGTATTTTGTTTCAGTTCCATTTATAAGTATATGTAAGTCTAAAACAAGAATAGAAAGGACAAAAAGTATGGTCTAACTTACTCTACGTATCAATATATAAGCTCGATCGATCAGAAATGGAATAGAAGTTCTTATTTTTATTATTGAGGTTAAACGACTCAAATGAACATATTCCTGTTTAAATATATGATTACATCGTTTAAGAAGTTATTATTTTCTCTGCTTGTGTCAACTTTGTTCCCATTTGTAATAGAGATTCTTTAAGAAATTGCTAATGATGACATGTTCCTGTTTAAATATATGATTACTCTATTTGGTTGTCTTTGACTTACTCTATGTTGATTGGTTGGAATTTTGTTGGGAGAATTTTTGTTGATAATTTGTTGGTAAAATATCAATTGTTACTATATTGGGAAAAATCTGTTGGTAATATGTTGGAAAAAATCCATTGGTAATATGTTAGGAAAACATCCATTGGTAATCCGTTGTTAATATATGCCTTGAATTACTCAAAGTTGATTGTACTTAGTTTGAAATTGGCTGAACTGAAATTGTTATATCATGTTAGATCATTATTCCCATCTTCTGCAGGCACTTTAGAATCGTGTGGAGAGTAATTTTCTCTAATTTATTTCATAGTAAAGCTTGTAATTCAACATACCAATGAGGTAGGCCCAAAATCCCATATATATTCACAAAAGTTAATTGGGTCACGCGAGATGGAACTACCTTTTTGCAATAGAACGCGCAGATTTCAATTTCTCAAACCCTCCGAAAATATAATTTATTCCAGTTATTATTTTCTGCCTTGAAATTTCAGTAAACCTTTCATTTTTTTGGATTTTTAGTTGATATATGACTTCATTTCTTTTTGATTTTTATGTGAAGGTCGCAAGACAATAAAGCAATGGAAGCAGCAATAAGAGACGCTTTGAAAGCGCTTAAAAAGCGGCATTTACTGGAAGAAGGCGCCCATTCACCTGCCTTGATCGCTCTATCTCTCCCGATTGTGTCGCAGGTAAATGGAAGTGGGTTTTTCTTGTTGTTTCAGTTATTTGGTTCCGTTGTATAATGTTTTAGTCCGTCTCTAATAAGAATAAAAGATCAAAATTTGGAGGCAAATTGTAGTCAATGGTTGTCATGGTTATTCTGAAAATAAGGTTAATAATATAGTCGAGATTTATTTGCAGTTGGTGCTAGGATTACACTGGCAACATAGCTTGTGCCTTGAGGTATTAGAACTCAAAAGACTTGGTTCATTATCACAACTGTATGAAACTAAGTAGCGCCCATGTATTTGCTGGTTTATGCCTCAAGGGTCCTCATTGGAAAGAATGTGTTTGCATAGTTGATATAACTATAGTAATGGTATGTGTTGAAGGGCTCAGAATGGAAAGAAAAAGCTGAAAATCTTGAAGTGGAGCTCCAGCAATGTTACAAAGCTCAATCTCGTTTATCAGAACAACTTGTGGTGGAAGTGGCTGAATCCAGAGCTTCCAAAGCTTTAGCACAAGAAAAAGAATCCATGATAGCTGAGTTGCAGAATGATCTTAGTCAAGAAAGGTTTTCAGTCTGAAGATTATGTCTCCTTTCATTTTTGTATATATAAGTTGTGAGGGATTCAATTATGACGCTGTGCCACATCTGGCCGTGTAAACTATTGCAATCATTTGCAGGAATGAATGCCTGCGCCTAAATGAGCTTTTGGAAGAAAAGACCAAGGCGCTAGAGCTGTTGATAAGTGAACACCAAGAACTTAAAGCACAACTAGAGGCAACCACTGTCAGAGCTGAAAACGCAGAAGCAGAAAACAAAATGCTAATTGATCGTTGGATGTTGGAGAAGATGAAAGATGCCGAACGCCTAAATGAGGTATCTTTACATGATGGTTCCTGCTGTATAATATCATCTCCATTTTTATTTTTTTATCTGCATCATGAAGAAGTTGAGACATCTGCTAGTGAAATTCTGCATGATATAGAAAAGTTACAACAACAGCACCAATCCTATCTACAGTCCTAAGTTAAAATGATCCGTTTAATCTATCTTGATTTATATATGAAAGCATGCATGATTCTGCATAGAAGTTTTCATGATTAAAGAGATTTGAAGGCATACCCTCCACCTCCTGATCCAGATCGATCATCTGTCAAAACTTTACTAGCTATTAAGTATGAACCTTTGTTTAATTAATCATCTAATCTGACATTGTACTTGCTATTCATACATTTTCCTTGTTTGGGTCGCTCTAGTTAAATCTCTTATGGAGTGCCCTTCTAATGTCATTCTTGATAACTAAATGGTTCTTCATTAGGCTAATGCCATCTATGAGGATATGCTGGATCGCCTCAAAGGAAGCAGCATACAACTTCTCGCTCATCAACAAGTGGATGGCATTGTCCGCCAGAGTGAAGAAGGCGCTGAGTTCTATGTGGAGTCAACAATCCCTGCCACGTGCAAGCTGAGGATCCCAGCCCATGAAGGCGGCTGTGCTTCTATCCTATTTGAGCACAATTCCACCAAATTGGTCAGCGGAGGACAGGACAAAGCCGTGAGGACTTGGGACACAAACACCGGATCACAAAGTCGGGCTCTTAATGGTGCCCTTGGCTCCATCCTCGATATCTGCATTACTCACGAAAACAAATTCATTATAGCGGCCAGCAGCACCAATAATCTCTATGTATGGGATGTGGGCTTGGGCCGGGTTCGCCACACCCTCACGGGCCACATGGACAAGGTCTGTGCCGTAGATGTATCCAGGGTGTCGAGCCGCAATGTCGTTAGCGCCGCTTACGACCGTACGATAAAAGTGTGGGACCTTCAGAAGGGTTATTGTGTTAACACGCTTATATTCCACAGTAATTGTAATGCCCTCTGTTTTAGCACGGACGGGCAGACGATTTGTTCAGGGCATGCGGATGGGAACCTGCGGTTATGGGACATTCGTAGTGGAAAGCTTTTGAGTGAGATTGCGGCCCATTCTTTTGCTGTCACGTCTATGTCTTTATCGAGAAGTGGGAATGTGATACTGTCCAGTGGGAGAGACAATCTGCATAATTTGTTCGACATTCGTACGCTCGAGGTTTGTGCGACTTTGAGAGGGAATGGGAGTAGTAGGGTGGCGTCTAATTGGAGCAGGTCGTGTTTGAGCCCGGATGACAGTTATGTAGCGGCTGGGATGGTAGATGGGTCGGTGCATATTTGGTCGGTGGCTAGTGCAAAACTGGTGAGCACTCTAAAGGAGCATTCATCGCCCGTGTTGTGTTGTTCTTGGAGTCATTTAGGGAAGCCGTTGGCTACTTCGGATAGAAATGGCAACATTTGTGTTTGGTCTTGATGAATGTATCACAATTCACAATTCATATTTGTATATTTATTTATTTATATATTTATTTATTTATTTGTTTGTTGATTTGTGTGAAGGAGTTGGACACGGAAAAAAAATCAACTTTCATTTATTATTCATATAATCGCATAATTTTGAACTAACCATCAATCGATCGATAATGTTGTAATGTTGTATTTTTGAATTAGTCTTGATCGTTTTGAATTTGAATTTTCAGATAAATTTATTTATATTTATAGAAGTAAATAGAATTATATTTTTTACATATATACATGTCATTATCAACTTTTAATATCACTACTATACTGATACTATCCAGCGATTGGGCAGAAAAGAAAAAGTTGAGAAGAAAAATGTCCAAATGATATGGAAAAAACTAACGACAAATGTATGAAAAACCGTCGTCCTCTTTGAATGTGTGCGTGCAAGAAAAAAATAATAATAAAAAATAAAAAAAAAAACATCCAAAACAGATGACAAATTTTTTTCTTTTACCCCTCAAATTATGTTCCTTTGTTCTCTCTCTCTCTCTCTCTCTCTCTCTCTGTGTATTTACTCTCTCTTCAAATCACACATTAAAACTCACCTCTTTGAATTCTCCTTTT